CTGAGAATTGGTCCATATTTATTTTACACAGAGAAATTTATTACTCAATTCAAAACAACAGAAAAAAATGATAGGTCATCATACTCGTTTGCGAGGAAATGACGATTTACCTCTATGGCGGGGTCCAGCTGTAAAGAAAAAGCCGCCATTTTTTAATACGCGCGCGCTAGTCACGCGTGAAATTATGCGCAGTAGGGATGCGCAATGCAATACTGAGGAATAACCTTAAAGAGCGAAAACAATTTGTATCTATTGGCAATATTACGTCAGACTCAATAAACAAATTTCTTAACATGTTAAACAAGGATCGGTACTTGGACCTTTTCTTTTTCTACTTTATTTTAATGATTTTAATAATTCTTCTGTTTGAACCTGATATCCATTTGTTTACCAATAGCTCTAATCTTTTCTATGTCAACAAGAGTTTAAAACTTGAAACATTTGTTACCAAAGAACTACGAAAAGTATATAATTGCCTTTGTGCCAATAAACTCTCTCTCAGCGCTGAAAATTATTACGTCATTTTTTACTCACCTCAAAAATGTTAATTATTATGATTATTGTTATCCTAAAATAAACTGAATCAATCACTATCTAGGTATAATGATAGTCACAGGTAAATTGCAATTGTAAGCGTAATATGTAGATTTAGCCAAGCCTAAAAGCGGAGCGTCTAGGTCAAGTTGTTCAAATCTCGATTAAGCTTACCCAGGATTAGCGAGAATTTTGATTCAAGTTTTGTAACTTTGTGGTGTGGTTTTCTGTACATTTTTTGGCCTTCCGTTTTGTGTTTAAATGATGGCAAAATACACAAAACAAAAACAGTGAAAAAACATTTGTATACATGAAAAATTTATAATTCGGTTAGCTTTTGATCCTGGGTTAGCATTAACTGGCTTCCGAACAACCCGGTCCTGTTTACAACAAGTTAACGTGACATGAACCCGTGATCCAACGGAAAAGCAGCACCTGGTCACCGGTGAACTTAAAAAAACACGTGACCTCGATGAGATGTAAACTTGAGCTCGCTATACGGTCACGTGCTACTGGTGAGCAGATACCTTGTTTTGAAAGGTGTCAATTAACTATAAGAGGGATGTCAAGTATCAAAGAAGGACGCTACAAACGCTACAAACCTCTTACATGGAGTATGGCCGCCATCTTGCGCTACTCCGTCGCTGCCGCCGCCGTCGTGCGTACGCGCCCACGAGCAATACCGTTAGCCATGATAACCATGGGAAAATCTATTCATGTGTTTCCTTTTTTATGGGGCTCCGCTCGGGCCGCCGGAGCTCCGCTGTAACCTTGTACATGTATTAAATTTAACATGATATTTTGTTTCTTTTTCGAATTACTGATAGCAATTATAATCTGGTAATTTACGACGATTCGTTGACTGATGCCTTCATGCCAACTGCGATGCGTCTTTTGGAACCCAAAAAGCATGTAGTTCTTTTCCTGGCGATGAAAACACGGTAAGTTGGAACGAGAAAACAAAACTGCACGTGTTTGAACAATGAGATAATTATTTAATTATTTAATTATGATAGTGCAGGAAAATCAGGGTCACACCAATGGTACTCTAGAATATGGGCTTGTTTATTAAAAATATTTTTCCCCTTCCGAACTTTTTTTAATACATTTGAAATAAATATATTACTTTAAAATTAGTATTATCGAGTGATCCAATCTAATATATTAATACCCTAAAATAAAATAAATAAAAAATAAACAATATTTGCATTTCTTGCAAAACAGACTATAGCCTTTTCTGTTGTCATTATTTCGCAATTGACTGTGCTTCCCGTTGTTGGGTTTTTTTTTTCAGTAACATTGTACAAATTGTGGACACTGTAAATAAGTAAACAAATAGTGCAAATAGAACTAACCTATTAGGAATCCCAATTGGTGGGAGGCTGAGCAGTTGGAAATTTTCACTACACGGTCGAGGAGTTGAACTCGGGACTAGCGAGATCAAATCCAGACAGCCGTAGGGAGAACGATTTGAATAAGCTACCTCCAGATTTCAAATCCAGTGCCCNGAAATACAAGGAATTTGATGAGTTCGCGTTGCATAGGAAGGCTAAAGAAATTAACTCGGCAATATTTATTACGCTTGCGCATCGCCACTCCGTTTTTGTTAGTGACTTTTCTGTTGCCGTTGCCGCCGAGGCTTGACTAAAGCTCGCCACTGTCGAGTGACTTGTCAATAAAGTTCGTTGTGGCACGTTATAAACTTCTCCGATCAGTCGACTGTTGTCACGATTACTGTGAATAAAACTAGGTACCCAAAGGGTACATGTATGGGACACAAACTCATTTGCATTAACGGACAGGAGCCGTTGACAATAGTGTGGGATACCACAGGTATCCCACACAAGAATGTCATAGTGAGATCGTCCTTTTACTTCCAGATTGAACTTCACCCCCACATTATGGGATGAATAGTGTCTACAGGCGGTCAGGCAATTCTGGTGGTCGTCGTCTGAGGTCATCAAGCTCCCTTAGTAGATTTATTCGTTCTATTGCTCCTGTTGTCTCTCTTACAAATTTGGACTGCACAGAAATATCCAGAGCTTGTTGGGCAGCCGTGAGACCTGCAAAAAAGATTATGTGGGTGTCCATGTGATATGATCGTCAGTCCGGTAGCAGTCGGTCGTCGGTCGGAGGTCAATCAATCATTGTCACCAGAAGAATATCGAGGTGATAAGCTTCTGTTGTCACTTACATGTAACAAATGAACTAATCAATCAATTGATAAGTTAGTATGATAGACAGAAAGCAGTCAATCGGTCAGTCCATGAGCGAGTGAGTTTGTGAGTCAGTATGACAATAAACCAGTCAGTCGGTCAGTCGGTCAGTCGGTCAGTCAATCGGTCAGTCACCTAATTAACCGAGAAATCAGTTTAGAAATACCAGCTTAATTGATCTGAAATCGAATGTATTCGTGGTGGAGGTTGTGTTGACAAGGATACACAAGATAATTACTGACTAACTGATAACTGCGACTTACCACCGTCGATATCCCCTGACCTGATGCAGTAGTCTGTCTTACCAAGGTAAAAAGTACTGTTCATCCAATTCGAACTGCGAGATAACAGGCTATGATATTGAGTGATTATGGCGCCAGCACGGGTTAGGTTGTCTTGGGATACCGCAATGTTCAGGTCGGGTGCGCCGTTTGGTGAGGACTTGAGATAAAGGGAGATCAATCTGTTATATTTTCGAGGAAGCATGCGGGCTGTCGTGTTTAGTCGTTGATGACTCCAGTGTTGTGCTGCCTTCTCCAGGAAACACTCTGCGTCCCTTATTTCAACATCACTCACTCCCACACTGGCGGATCTTTCCATGGTTATGGCCCCGATGTTGTAGAGCGCCATTGATGTGTAAGTAGATGGTTCCATTGGTTCAAATATCTATGGCGTATTAAACATGTAAAAGACTCGAAGGGACACTTTGACGTCATTATTGCTGAATTTTTGGTCAAAGCAGCGCTAAATTATGACTGAGTACGTTCTCTCATACACGAAATGTTCCTACATCACCAAGATAAAGATTAAAGACGTTGGCGCGAAAATGTTCTACTCGATATATTTTCTTCAAACTTCTGCCGCGGACAGATAATGAATCACTGGTTTCAGATACGAAACAAAAATTGGGCACGGATTTCGTTTTAGAGATAAAGCGTGTGGAAAACTAGTCTGATTTTGAAAAATTGGCGCGCGTAAATCAGCATGGTCTCTAGGGTTTTTAGCCTAAGATATCAAAGATGAATCAACGGAGACAAACTATCCTAGCAATATTTTGTATAAGTGAATCCGTTGCGTTAATAATTCCAAATCTTGCCAAAGTTTTCAAAAATTAAACTTCACCCGTCAAGAGGCATGTGAAACCGCCGCACAGATGAACGAAGAACGGGATTCGATGGGGCATTTTGCCAAAAAATTCATAATCGGTAGAATTTCTTCACTTTTTCGTTAAACAAAGAAAATTGGTAGAGAAAATGATCCATCAAAAAGAAAAATAGGGGTCACCGAACGTCCAGTTAAATCCCGGCAAAGCTATAGCAATGGCCATCTGCGCTACCATGGTTTATTTTATTACAAATGCGCACACTCGCGCACACTCGACGCATGACGTAGCGTGTGAATTTGCGTGCGCAGTAAGCATTTCCAAACCGAGAAGGGAGGAGAAAATACGATGCGCAGCGGAGTATTTGTTTGATATACCTTCTCAATCAAACTAAAATTATGGAGAAAACCGAGAAATAAAATAGTAAAAAATCTACGCTAATCAAGATCAGATATCCAAACAACGGTCATGATTTTCTTTGTTTAAACTTGATGAATTATTAAGTTTGAGTTTGAGAAAGGGAGGGCAAATCTATTTCCTGTTTTTTTTTTTTTTTACAATTTTTGTACGATACGACTTCAGAATTTGAAAGTCTGCCAGACTTTTCCAATTTGACATGCGTAATTCATTGTATCATGCTTTTGTAACTTCAGTGCACTTTCAAAAAAAATCGAGACCATTCTCTTTAGGTTTTTATTAGTGAAAATATGTCTTGTAGGCCCCCCTTTGTAGGCCCCTCGTTCTTGAGATCGCGAAAAAGAAAGTCAACAAAACTTCCATGGCTTCAAAACATGAAGCGGTGCCATAAACATAGTGTTCAACTGTAGTCTTATTTATTGTGATGATGCAAAAGTATAATTTGTAATGTGTTTGCGAATTACTCGAGATCACACATAGTTACACTTTTTTTTTTTTGATTATTGTGTATTCTACATGTTCTATTTGCCATACACCATAATTTAAGGCACTGGTATTTGCTTTTACATATCACATCTGGTTCACGCAATTCATATTTTACCGATCTGTTTTTTGGTTTATCACTTCCATGGAAATATCGATTGCCTTAAGAATTACTTTATACCTTCAATCCATTTCCAATCTCTGGTGTAATTTTCAGGTCGATCCGATTAAGGGAAGACTGTTTAATAGCTGATTGAAAATGATTGGAATGGTCCAGAATAAACTGTTTCGAGACACCTTTGAGTCCTGTTCTGAATATGAACGAGACTTTTGTCCAACCAGATACAGAGGAACCTCGATAAAACGAAGTCCCAAGTGATTTGTAAAACGTATTCTCTATCAACAGTATACATGTAGGTTAGTTAAGGTTCTCACAGGCCTTGAATACCCCTTGAAAAATTGCCTTGTCCTTGAATGAAAAGACCTTGAAATGACATATATACGGTAGGTTTCGTTTTTGAAACGTCGTTAAGTTTTTACCAATAAGTCCTTGACTTTTGTTGACAAGTCCTTCAATGCTCAAGAGATTATTGATAGANATAACTGCGACTTACCACCGTCGATATCCCTTGACCTGATGCAGTGGTCTGTCTTGCCAAGGTAAAAGGTACTGTCCATCCAATTCGAACAGTGAGAGAACAGGCTGTGATATCGAGTGATGATGGCACCAGCACGGGTTAAGTTGTCTTGGGATACCGCAAGGTTCAGGTCGGGTGCGCAGTTTGGTGAGGACTTGAGATAAAGGGAGATCAATCTGTTATATATTCGAGGAAGCACGCGAGCTGTTGTGTTTAGTTGTTGATGGCTCCAGTGTTGTGCTGCTTTCTCGAGGAAACACACTGCTTCCCGTTCTTCAACTGCACTTACACCCACACTGGCAGACCTTTCCATGATTATAGCCCCGATGTTGTAGAGCGCGATTGAAGTGTATGTAGACGGTTCCATTGGTTCAAATATCTACGGGGGATTAGACATTTAAATGACTCGAAATAACACTACATCTTTGGTGAAAACAGCGCTAAATTATGAGTGAATGCGTTCTTTCATACACGAGTGCAACTGAACACTAAGATAAAGATATGAAGTGAATAGACCGTTTTCGATACTGTATATTAAAATTCAGCTTGGCAGTGAGACTTAGAGGACACTAACAAAGGAAATTGAATGACTATGTTTATTCACTTCTTTTGTTTGTGTCCTCTGACCTTACTATCAAGTTGAATTTTAATATATCGAAAGTGGCCTATTGTGAAGTAATATATCGAACACAAAAGACGTGTTTGACCACAATTCCAAACATTGAGCACGGTTGTAAAACATTGTACACTTATTGCTAGGCTCATACAACCAAATCTCACCTCCAAAGCCTCCACGATGCGCTCTTCGGCACCATCTTGATTGCCAGCAAATCTGTCAGCGGCAGCATACACAGCAGATGCGTAGCCCCGGATGACACGGTCATTCACACAGCTGTAGTACGAAGACAAGCGGCAGGCTCTTTTAGCAAGGTCGACTGCCTCCTCCAGTCTGTGTTGGATTAAACAAGCTACACCTTCCTACAAAGAGAAGTTCAAAAGAGCTTTCTTTAGTGTTTCCTTTATTCTATAGTTACCCCTCTCCCGAAAGCATTGTTCTGTTCAATAAACCTTCAGTTCAGCGTAGACGTTGTCGTTTTCTTAAACTCCCCAACATCAACTCCTCTCAATCTGGCCTGTACTCGGACCAGATTGCTAACCATAAGAGCAACGCGACTAACACAAGGGAAAATATTTATTGCCCCTTAAAATATAGTTATGGCAGCTGCTTAATAGTTTTTCATGATTTACTTGCAAATCGGTACGCTTACCTCGAGCAGTATCATGGCGACTAGATCTTGATACTGCGGCCTTGTTTTGGCCCACCTTTCCAGTAGCTTTCTATGCCGTCGATAAAGTGAAAATTGCCCTGCATGAGTGACAGAGAATTTATGTCAGGAATCACTTTCTGTCCTTTACCATAAAATGCTAATTACAACCCTTCCTCGGAACAAAACATATAGGGACCCATGCGCTAACGATTTCCAAAATGTAACACGTACTGAAAGGAATACATAAGGGTTCCAAGCATTCCCAAGGCTGCTGCCTAACGGGCGCCCGGTCGCCTGAGGCGCCTAAGTTACGAGTGCGGGCGACTAAAGTTTTGTTCGAGGAGCCCGAGTGGGCGCCTAAACATGAAGTTTTCATTCCCATGTAATCTATCCACTGACTTCAATCTTCTCATGAAATCGGTCAAAGAATCATTCACACAATAAATTAAACAGAAAAC